TGTGTGTGTGTGTGTGTGTGTGTGTGTGTGTGTGTGTGTATGTGTGTGTGTGTGTGTGTGTGTTCAGCCCTTCTCCAACGGTCTGGTCACCGTCATGGTTCCTCAGCTGAGGAGGGAGAACAGCCTGTTGCTGTGGAGCACTCTGGACTTCAACAGTCCGGTCCACGCTTTTGTCGGGCACGACGACGTGGTTCTGGAGTTCCAGTGGCGGCCGCAGAAGGAAGGTGGGTCTGACTGACGCACACACGCACATTGACGTTTCCTGACTGACTGTTGTTGKTGTTGKTGKTGTTGTGCAGGCTCTAAGGACTTCCAGCTGGTCACCTGGTCCAGGGATCAGACTCTGAGGATTTGGAGGGTGGATCCTCAGCTGCAGAAGGTTGGTGTTGAGCTGCACAGAGGTGGGCTCACACAGGAGAGGCTCCGGTGTCTCTGACTGGTTGTTGTTGTTGTGTAGTTGTGTGTCAGTGAYATGGTGGAGGACCTGATGGAGGGGATGTCCCTCACCGTGGAGTCTGAAAAGTCCATGTCCTCTCAGGAGCCCGAGGGCCAGCAGAGTGCAGGTCCCTCTGCAGACAACCTGCAGGGTAAGTCCAGATGTAACAAATGTTGTTTTTGTTTGTTAATCTGGATTATTCTCCATCTGAAGATGTGAWAATCTGGTTTAGCTGCTGAGTCAGACCTTTGTTTCCAGACCAGGACTCAGCAGCAGGTTTGGTCCTCACTCAGACCCTGCAGCAGGAGTTCTCCCTCATCAACCTGCAGATCAGAAACGTCAACGTGGAGGTGAGCCCCCCACAGCTGGGGGGTGTAGAACCCTTGTTGTGCTCAGCTGGATTAAAGGTCGGCTCGGTCTGACTCTGAGGTCCGTTTGCTCTCAGATGGACGCCATGAACCGGAGCTGTGTGGTGTCGGCCCACTTCGGCAGCCATCAGGTTCACCTGGTGGTTAAATTCCCTGCGCAGTACCCCAACAACGCAGCACCGTCCTTCCAGTTCGTGTCCCCGACCACCATCCCCTCTGCTATGAAAAGCAAGATCCAGAAGGTACCTGAACACACCAC